CAATGGAATATTTTGAGAAGAAGAGTGTGGGGAAGTTTGGCGTCTGGAGATCCTTGATCCAGGATTGGATTCTATGAAACAAGTAGGTGACAGTTTTATGTATACCTGCAGGAATTACATGATTTACACAGAAAGGAAGACAATGATAGGAATACTATTTACACTTGGAATTGGAATTATTTTGGTAGATTGACACGAAGTATTGGTACAAAAAATATGTAGTGTCTTCATTGTAAATCAAGGAAATTGTGAACCTGAAAATCTAGATATAACCATTGCATCTTCTTATTTATTTGCAAAAATAGTTGATCTGGAGAATTATATAGGATGCATGTTAACTTCTTTTTTATTGGAAAAAAAAATGCTTGGTTGGAAGATTGTGTGGGATGGATTAACAGAAGTCAGGTACACTCCACGGAGACTGTACCTTGGGTTATACTTGAAACAAATTAAAAATCTTTCCATAATTTAGTTAGAAATTCACAATCTTGTTTAACTATGAGAGTTTGAAAATTCAATTGAAAATGATAAAAGTTGAACAGCTTTTTTATCCTTCTGTTATAGTTGCTTGTTGGTCATTCTTAACCACAGGAGCTATAGAAGGCATAAACAAGATTGTCACTGGTTCTCTAGTCAGTCTCTCTGAGCAGGAGTTTATTGACTGTGACGAATCTTATAATAATAGCTGTGAGGGTGGTCTAATGGATTATGCATATCAATTTGTTCTAAATAACTATGGAATAGACACTGAGGAAGATTATCCTTGTCAAACTCGAGATAGGCCCTGCAACAAGGATAAGGTAACTGCTTCGGTCCTCCCCTTTAAGTTCTTTTCCTAAATCTTACTTCTCTGCTTCACTCCTATTTAATCTTACTACTTGTTTTTCGATTCTTTTTAACTTTTATTTGCAATATATTCTATTTCATTTTTGTCTTGCAGTTAAAAAGACGTGTTGTGACAATTGATGGTTATACCGATATTTTTGCAAATAATGAGGACTTAACTGCTTTGAGCTGCAGCAGCTCGGCTTGTGAGAGCAGGTATATGTGGCAGTGAGAGAGCATTTCAGTTATATTTTAAGGTTGCCTAAAATTTAATCGTTGATAGTAGATTTCTGTCAACATTATTTTTTAGCTGTGATTGAAAGTGTTTTGATTGTCTGTTTGAGTGGGGATATTTACTAACCTGGTTTCCACTTCATTAGATCATGTTGTGCTGATAGTTAGATATGATTAAAAAAAATGGTGTAAGCTATTGGATTATAAAGAACTCCTGG